GCGTCACAATTCGATAAAACGCACCCGAGTGCATAAAAAAATTAAATCGTGCTTTATATAGTTTATAGATGTGTAATTAATCCTACGTGTCCAATCTATTTTTTTCTCAGTCAAATGGAATGTAAAAACCAATGTATAGAATCTCACGTGCTACGAACATTATTAAAGATCTACGTTAGGATTTTTGCTTGTTATCTACGTATAGACAATGGATGGGAAATATAATTCGTAATGCGAACACGGTGGTGTAGTATAACGATCCCGTCATTTCGATGAATCCGTACTTTAGATCTGAAGTACTAGGCCTGCACTGGAAATGTTATCTCCGCCACCTGCCGTCTGACTAGCTTGTGTGCAAACCAACACAGGAGCGACGCACACCTGAATAGAAATATTCTCTTGCTCTATCTTTAATATCTCATCCCAACAAGATACTGGTTTATCGATATTCAATGCTATTCGAATACCGTCAACGATAGATGTCGAGAAACTATCATCCATGATCAGTGTCGCTTTCTTCACATCAACCTACATTAGAAGAAATAATTTTAAAATCGTCGAACGCATGTAAGACAACACATTATATGTCTGACAATTTCTAACGTTTCATTCGAAAGAAAATTGTAAATTTTATAACTATTTGGACTTATTAAGTATTAGTAATGATAATATATTTATGAATTGTTCTTATAAGTTATTTATATATATGTAAATAATACTTACATTACTCGATGCACATACATGTCTATGTGCAGTAAGTGACGCTTTGGCTGCAGCAGCCATGGTATTCTTCCAAATGGAATCCTTAACGGTAAATATGGCTTGATATGCTAGCGTGTGAACGTGAATTCTCGTAAGTTCTCTAGAATTCGCGATCGACTTGCCTCTCAAACGTATGAGTTTGAACAACGTTCTCATTTGATCTAACACTGTTGCGACACGCGGAGTCGAATTGGCCACCAACGAGATGTTACCGTAATACATAGTATTGTACAGATTCGCTATTTCCTGTTCGTTCATTCCCAAACTATCAGCGAAAGGAACTACCAGGTCGCATAATTCAAAGAGCAATTTATCCTCGGCAAATGAGGCCATCTCGAAGTGAATTCTGGTAGAGCTCGGACGATCTAACATCTGTTTCTTTACGTTCATTAACAGATTCTTGCGTTTGTCTGTAAAATTGCGTGAATATGAAGAAATTATTTTATTTTATATAATCGTGAATATGTTCGGAGAAAAATTACCTTCCCGAAATGGGTAATTATCCATCATCTGGAGACCGCTGACTACCAACAAATCGGGATCATATGTTCCCAGAACTTTGTCGAAGGCATTAAATGAACTAATCATTGGATTATTCATGTCGTTATGAATAATATATCTAGAAAAAAACAAAAGAACAATTTCCCATCAGTTGATTACGCATTTATCTTATTACTGTCATTTTATTATTATCAATTTATCAATACCTGTTTGCTCTTGCACTGGAATAAGGACCCCACACTTCACCATGCTTATATTCCATAATAAGATGAATATCGTCACGTTTCACTTCCCCGCCTACTATATTTATCACCTGTGGAATCATCTGATGTAAAGATCTGGTCATTTTAGCTGCAAGAGTTACGTCACATCCCTCTCGCGCGAATCGCATCGCCATAACTGCTGCATTTCCTCCAATTGTTGAGTAAGACGATGGAAACGAGCGCGCTTTCGATACCAATTCATCGAATAAAGTTCTGTTTGCCATATAGCGTCTATGGAGAAAAATTTATGTCACTCTATATAAGATAACTGTAACGATTACATGATTATAATATTATGATACAGAATGATTTAAAAATAATCTAATAAATCTTGACAATCATTTGAGGGTATTTATAACTAAATAAAAAATCCATAATTGTTTAAAAAGTTAATTGCGATTTTAATATACATATTTATTCTATCATTCTATAAGATGTTCAAATCAATCTTAGCAGAATAATTTTGTGAATTAAATGAGCCTCTAATATTATAAAATATTTTTTTGTAACATAACTCATATTAAATGTAATTGTCAAAGTTTCTGGTGAACAATTCTCATATTTTTAAGAATTTGTCATATTTGAAGTTTATAAAGATTTCTGAAAAATAATTTTATAAGTTTTCTTCAGAAATTAAAGAATGAGAAATTTGAAATATTAGAATTCATTCAAATATGAAGAATTCTAGAAAAAATATAGACTTTCTCAGCAGTTTTAAAGTGTTGCAATTCATATTAAAAAATCTAAGAAATTTTCTAAAAGATTATAAACTTATACAAAAATTTTGAAAAATTTTAAAACTTACATAAAAATTATTTAAATAATTTTTGAAAAATTATAAAAAGAACATTAAGAAAAATTTTT